TGAATGTTTCTCGGAAACCCAAGGGGAAGCAGATATGTTCGATGCGACTCTGGACCTCATCTAATGAGATCCGTATTCGCGACTGAATGATTACTCGGCACGGGAGTTCCGCAGGGAATTGAGGCTTCGAGGGAGGATTCGACGATCGTCACGCTTTATCAACCTACCGAACCATGATTCGCTCTGTTTGCCTGATCGCGCAAATATACAACGAACTTGAGAAAAAATCACTTGAAGTCGTTCAGCGAGAGCTCTCAGGTACAATACGCCGCGAGGAATTATTCTGGCCTTAAGAGCCTCACCACACGGAGGGAAGGGAGACTAACTCGGACTCTGGAGGCGCTCAAAGAAAACTGCCCGCAACTCCGCAGACTAGAAGTGGACCACTGCTCCATGACCAACGATGCCATTGATCTACTAGCTCACCTGAGACCGACGGTTGATATAAATTAAAGAAGAATTCGAGACAGAGTCTACGCTTCTGAGTCCGTTCCTTCGCCCGGAAACTCTTGACGCCGGAACTCTCTTCCCTTCTTCGATCCGTCCCGAAAAGCAACATCACGGCGGAGGATGCCTTCGCATATGAGTGGAAAAATGAGTGAACTGCGCTTCCGACAGGAGTCGAGCCCATCAACTCAGCGAATCTTATCCGCAGAGCGAGGTTCCCCCCCTCCTGAAGACGTTTCTTACCTTCAAAGCGCTGGAAGCTTATTGTATTCTTCCCCTCGCATCGATCCTGCAATCTGGGCTTCATCAATCAAATCCGGTAAAAAGGCAAGTTGCATGCCATCGGAGATACTTCGATCTCAGTAACTTTTCAGGGTACATCGCAAGATGAGACATGTTACAAGCAGTTTGAAGAGTCCTTAGGTTGGATTAAAAACCACGGAATTATTCCAAAAGAGCCTCCTCCGCATAACTTATTCCGGGCGCGAACGACTTGCAGAGCATAGGCTTAGGAGCGATCCTAGAACCCATCCTTGTATACTCCCCGACCAAACAAGAGAAACCAGACCAACGGCTGCAAATGCCCATCTGATTCTCGAAACAGATGATTGTAGATCTCTGTGGAGTTCCCTCCAGCGTAAATACGCTGCGGTTGGGAGGCTCAACCAGCGGAAGCATTCGAAGAATATTGAAGACGTCATCAAATTATGCCAAGAGGACGGTATGGCAGGGCATCCGGGAATCCGTGGAACTGAACGTCGTGTTCGGGAGCGCTTCGATCTTTGTAGGGGGCTACATCGTCGAGTGCGGCAGTACGTTAAGGGCTGTGTGGTTTGTCAACAGTGCAAAGCACCCTCACAAAAGGTGGGCGATCTGCAACCAGTCGCACCACCCGCAAGACCTTTCGAGAAACAAGGGTGGACTTTGCGGGCCCTTTCAACGTTCCGGGGAATCGGCCGGTGTATGTGTTGGTAGTGGTCGACTACTGTACACGCTACGTTCATTTGTTCGCGAGTGGACGGATTTCGGCTCCCTTCGTCGTGCGATCCCTCCAAACTATAAGTGATTCGGTTGGGCATCACGGCGGTCCGAGATGTGATCCCGAAGATAGCGTTCTCCATGAATACGACTATAAGTGAATCGCTTCGGGAAACTCCTTTCGAAATGTTATTCGGGTTTCCCGCAGTTTTGCCTGGTGAGCCCCCACGGGGAGAGAGACTTTCCCGTTCAGCGAGACAAGTGCGTCACGAGGGTCATCGGAACCTGTCGGTAGCTCAAGATCGGATGAAGAATCGTTTCGATGCGTTGAGGGTTTAACCTGCTCCCTTCCATGATGGTCAAGAAGTATTGGTTCGAATAACCCGGGCCCGTCGTGGCCTTTCTAAGAAGCTCCATCCGCGATTCGTGGGTCCTTGGAGGATGCAGCGGAAAATCGCTCAGGCGACCTATGTAGTGCGGGATCCGTCTGGCCGTTCGCGAAATATCAATGCAAAGGATCTCCGTCCGTTCGAACGAGGGCGTTCGGTTCCGGTAGCGTGACCGATTGGAACGGCGTCACTGGCGCTGTTGTATATTTCTATAAAAGGCTGCTCGATACTAGAATAAAGGGCTCATTCCTACCACCTTCGTTATTCCGCAACAGTATTTAGGTTCGAGAAGCCACTGCTTCTCGGGAGACAGTGCTCGAGGTTCTCTCGCCATGTGGAATCGGCCGCGCGATAACATTCACGTAGAGTTCCGAGAGTTTACGCGAAGTTCACCTCGAGCTTGAGGTTCTAATTGCGTTCCCTGCCGAATCGCTTGCGTGCGTAGATCCACTGCACGGTGATGGAATTTAGACTCGGTAGCATGTGGGATTCTCAGTGCTTGATGCTTCTTTTCTGGTCTTTGAGCGTGGTTTATTCCGTCGGAGGACATCTGAATCATGACGGCGAATCTTCGATTCGACACTCGACCGGAGGATCCAGGTGAGTATCTGAGTTTTTGACCTTCGAGGAGACCCGGGCGAAGTCCTCGAGTCTAAGTTGGCTCACGTCTCCTATTCGACATCTCGCCCGTACGGATCGACCCTGAAACTGATGAGGAATCTCGCTCTCCATGCAGCCCACACGCCGACGGCTCGGGTCCAGCATACAGTTCCATCGAGCTGACGCAAATACCACACTGGTCTGGAAATTTCGCTGTGAGCAACGCCACCAGGGAGATTTACCTCCCAGCCGGAAAAACAGTGGAGGATACCGCGCCGATGAAGCTTCTCCACGAAAAATATTTCCAGGGCGCACCCGCACCAGGTCTTAAATTCCCGACGAATGGTATCGTTGAGTACATGCGATTGGGGCAGGGGATTCGTAGCCTGGAGTTCCGCAAGTTGGAACCTGGGATGTTTCATTTCGAATATGAAATCCTCGGGCAAGGCAAAGATACTTCTGGAAGGTGGACAGTATACGCGGTTCCCTCGTACCGTGTTCGACGAGACTCATTCTTCAGACAGGAAATCGAACTACCGAAGTTCAATTTCGAAGATGAGGTCCTAATTAAATCGACGATGGAGAATATTGGGGTCGAAGTTCGCCCGCACAGGAGATCTCTCGCCGTCTTCGGCCTCGCAGGACTGAGCGGAAATTCGATCACTCTGAGCATCCAATTGACGTCTTCAGCTCCTCGGAAAGTTTATCGGCTGATTATTCGGCTTTTGGTCGAGGAGCACCAAGAGCCCGTCGGAGAGGTCGAGAACATACAGTTCTGGGCTAAGGACTTGGGCACTCTCGGCAGTCGCGTGAAACTGGCGGAGTGCGTTGCCAAAGGATACGGAAAAGGGCTTCCTGATTTAGTCCATGCAAAATTCGAAGAGCGGGGCAAAGGAGTCACCTCATTCACGAGTCAATTGTTCAAGGTCTCAGGTTGCACGAT